TGAAGCTCACCTCAGGAACCCACAGGGATGGGTCGGATGGGTGTGATGATGATGACTAGTGGCACTTTTAAACGGGGACATAAATCCCACAGATCTTGTTGGCTTCACCCCTATTGAATTTTAAAATACAGATTTTATTCTAATAGATTACACCATGCCAGTTTTTAATCAGGTGCATCTAAAACTGGCATGTGAGCCGACCAAAGGGCCTCACAGCTGATACTAGACTAATACGCCATCACAACAAAGAAGAAAACATGAAAGATCAAACAAACTATCTCCAATCAGCAGAATGAAACGGTCAGTGACAGCAGGTAAGATGTTACAGAAAAACCCAAAAGAGCGAAAAGACTACCAGCCACAGTCCACGCCCTCAGAGTGTCACAACTCCCCACAGCTGAGCAAGCAGAGGTTACAGTAGCATGTTGGTCTCTGCCATGTGTTCCTAGGTCAACGTGCACCTGAGAGTTATACAGGTCCTCACGCAAGTCACATTCAAGTGCTCTTGTTTCACAGGCATGCTCAGAAACCACGTGCACGGCTTTTGAGACCCAATCAACACCGTGTGTGTGTGTGTGTGTGTGTGTGTGTGTGTGTGTGTGTGTGTGTGTGTGTGTGTGTGAAACCAACAGCACCTGGTCAGAGACTAACTTCAGAGGGACCGTCCTTCTGGTCCTGTCATCATAGATGCATCCAGCTTTACGTCTCACCCAGGAATGCTGTAGCTGATTGGCTGTTCGTCGTGTCCTGTTATAATCACAGTTTGACATCCAGCTGGGATGCCGCTGAGCTTATTGATACTGACAAGAGCACATCCTGTGTGTCCTCTGATCTCTGATACGTGTCGAGTCAGCTCTTAGTCTTTGATGTAGCTTTTGAAGCACCTGTAAATGCAGGTTAATGCTAGTCTGATTCTTTTAGCCTTCTACCTTATCTTTCTGCTCTGAAGGGAACACCTCCCATAAAAGAACGTTAGTCGAGGTAAGCTTGTTGCTCTTTATTAGTCCTGGTATCTTTGGGTGAATTCAGTCCAGAATCCTTAAAATCGATCTTCAATAACATAATCAAAAGACAGCTGTGTATAGATTAATCATCTAATTAATCAGAGGATTTGTAATTAATTCATCTTGATTAATCATATCAGATTAACCGTTCAATAAGATTTGCCCTCAAAGCCTTAAATTGAAATGATTTTTGTGAGTTCATATTGCATTTAGCTCTATGGGACAGGGGGCAGGCTTCGCAAAAAAGGAAGTATATCCTTCATCATATCACAGGGCATGATAAGACAATCTGTGTTATGTATTTCTGAAAAAGCATGCATCATTAATGAAAGGAAAAACTCTGGATAGCAGCTTTAATATTGGAAACTCAAGCTCTTTTAATTTCTGGGGAAAAAGCTTTTAAATTGTGTTTTAATTCAAAACAAAACACTAAAAAATATCTTTGGCCAAAATAGGACAGACCTAAAAGTACAGTCCTGTTTTAAGTACAGGGCTCTGGTGTGGCGCTGAACCACGGCTGAAATTCCAGTGCCATGCCTACAAGATTCCACCCCCTCGGGAGATGCACGGAAGCAAAATGTTCTGCATCTTTTTTCCTATTATTCATAATGCATTTAATCCTAACCCCATACAGGCCTTGGAATGTTATTGTTTACATCCAGCGGTAACTGCACACATCCACACAAAGCTGTTAGCCAGAGCTGTATCTCCACAATGTAAGCTAACAAAATAAAACCTAGATGTTACTACTTTAGATCATCCAACATGTCTTTGAGCAGATGATCAAAAAATAAACATCTCAAAGCTAACAAGCTGTGAGATGACAGTCCTCCTCAGAACCGGCTGCCTGAACGTCACACAGGTGAAGCTACGAAGGTGTAACCGGATCTCTGGTGCGTTTTGCAGATTAGTGCTGAAGGATTGCTGTGACACGGTTTATCTTTGGAGATGAACAGATTCTCTGTTTATTCTGACAAGTTCCATAAACAGAAACAGAAATAATCAACAGTAGAGACTGTCCACTCCAATTACAAACACTTTTTGTGTAATTACTGTAAAGAGACCGTTACCGCGGGTCACACCAGTTTATTTCTTAGGACTGATCTGCAGCACAGCTCTCCTCCTCTGCTGCCTCTGCCTGGCCTTTGCTTCTCCCCCAGCTGATCATGCCCTGCGGCTGCACATAATTGTATAGAAAAGCACAGATCTTAGGAGCAACAGAGCTACGAGGCTATAGAGCTATAGAGCTACGATGCAACAGGCCTACGAGTCTAGGGATGTACGAAAGTACGGAGCTAAGGAGGTATGTCAAGTCAACTTTATTTATAAAGCACTTTACAACAGCATAAAAGCTGACCAAAGTCCTTAACAAGCCAAAACAAACAGAAGTTTCCTATGAGGCTAAAAATAAGATACAAGTTCATCAAAAAGTTAAAACATGACAAAAACAAACAAATCAAACTGACTTAAAAGCTACTAAAAACGGATGCATTCTCAAACTGAATAAAAAGCAACTGAGAACAGATGAGTCTTTCAAAGCGATTTAAAACCCGACAGTGAGGAAACCATCCTAATCTGGATTGGGACTGCATTCCACAACCTTGGAGCTGCTACTAAGAAAGCTTTATCACCCCTGAGCCTCGCCTCTGTCAGCGCACCCCAGGGTAGCTGTGGCTACATCGTAGCTCATCACCACCAGGGCATGAATGTGTGTGTGAATGGATGAATGATACACTGTAGTGTAAAGCACTTTGGAGTCCTTACTCTGAGAGGCGCTAAACAAGTGCGGGTCATTTATCATTCATTCTCTTCATTCTTGACACCTCCAGGAAAAACTGGTCGGCTGACCTCAGTGACCAAGACGGGGAGTGAGCAACTAAAAGTTCACACAGATACTGCGGAGCAAGGTCATGTACAGCTTTAAAAGCCAGTAAAAGAACCTTGTACTGGACCCTAAAATCGACAGGCAGCCAGTGCAGTGAAGCTAAAATTGGGGTGATGTGCTCCCTCTTTCTCGAACCCGTCAATAGGCGATCTGCTGCATTTTGCACCATTTGAAGACGGGAGAGGTGAGACTGAGGAAGACCAAGGTACAGTGAGTTGCAATAGTCAAGGCATGATGTAATAAACGCGTGAATCACCGTCTCAAAGTAATGGATTGAGAGCAGACTAGGCTTGACCTAAGGAATCCATCCATCCACATATAATTCCATACATGCTTCTATATATCCATCCATCCATCCATCCAACCAACCAACCAACCAACATCCATCCAACAATCCATCTGTTATTTCATTCATCCAACCATTCATCCATCCCATATCAAGTCTGAACATATGTTAATCTATCAGTTTCAGATATCAGCAAATATTTCTAAATTCACACTTCAGCCAATTGTAAAAATGTACCCGTTAAACTATTCTCATTCAAATGGCAGCTGTTTAACATTTCAAATTTCGAGTTTTTAATAAATGTTCAAAGATTAAAGCTTTCTGCTGTTTAGCATTTTTTATCCATTCTCCATCTATATTCTGAGCTTTATTACACTTGTTGGTGATTTTTGCTTCTAAATCTTTAAATACATTCAGCTCATTTGGACAGTTTAGCTTAGTTTCAGCTTCACTTCAGCTATTCAGCAGCTTCAGCAATCAGTTTCTGAATTCAGCATATGATGCTAATTTCACAGTTCAGCTAAATGTAAAAATTAAACTGTTAAACTAGTCCTACAGAAATAACAGGTGTTTAGACATTTTAGCTGTCCAGATTTTTATACAATGTTCACGGATTTCAGTTTTTTGCAATTTAGGATGATTTTTCTCCATTCTTCACTAACTTTTTGTGCTTTATTTTCTTGTTGGTGCTTTTTGCTTCTACATCTTTCAATAAATTCAGCTCATTTTGACACTTTTACTTAGTTTCAGCTTCCGTTCAGCTATCTAGCATTCAAACAGCATTTGTACAAGAAATGCTAATTTTACTAGTTAATAATATCATTTTCTTTACACCAATCTGAATATTCTGTAATGTTCACAGACATACAAACCTTAGAAATGAAATATAATCAATATTAAAATAAAAATTATTAAAATAATTATTTCATTAAGATGAGTTACCTGTTATACTTATTTACATTTGATATGATTAATAATATTTAATCTTATCTTCTATCATTTGTGGGTTTAGTGCATTCACTTAATATTAATTATGAAGTTATAAATAACAGGTCACTACAGTCTGGGCATAGAAAGTGTTTCTAGGAACTAACGCTTGTTCAGCAGCTCACCTGTTCCACTGACAGGAGAAATCCTCTCATCAGCAGGTGATCAACAGAGTGTCATGACTGAACACCGGCCCAAAAAAAAACAAAGACGACTAAAAACACTGACCTCAGATTGGCCCACCGGGAATTTGGGTACTGGTTCCGCTCATCACGTTAACTCTCATTGTGATATCAGAGCTTTATTGGCTCTGTTAGAATCCCAGTGCCTGGTGCACGCGCGGTTTGTGTTTGTGTGCACCGCGGGAGTGAGCAATGAGTGCCCACGTTTTTGCAGCTTGGGCGGTGCAGAACGGTGGAGAAACGCGTTTTAACATCGGTGCGCGTTTCAATTAGAAACAGGAGACAGCGAGCGAGCGAGAAAGAGAAAGAGAGAGAGAGAGAGAGAGAGAGAGAGAGAGAGAGAGACACTACTAAACCCAAGCAAGCGCGAGAAGAGATTTTGACTGAACTTTTTTCTGATTATTCCAACTGACGGATTTCTGTCACTACAGCGGAGAACTTTAATCCCTGGGCTATAGATTAACAAAGGTACAGAGATAAAGACCTACGTAGGTCCAGAGCGAGGAGCTAGAGCTATAAGGCTACTGAGCTACATTTGGTCTCCAGATTGACTTCCTCTGAATTCATCAACTTGGGAAACAGTCAAAATCAGCTGTGTGTGTGTGTGTGTGTGTGTGTGTGTGTGTGTGTGTGCATATGTGTGTGTGTGTCAGTACTTGAAGTAGCCTCCAGCGCGTGTTGAGGTCTTCGATGCGTTCCAGGTTGCTAGGTGACAACTGGATGTGGATCAGGTCAAAAGCGGACGCCAGCTCGTTCATGTGTGTCACATCAACCTTAATCAGAGCGATTTCATCCTGGAAATCCTAAAACACACCAAGAAAATGTGAGTCCTACTGCTGAGGGACTAAAGCAGCCATGTTGCACAGCCAGTATAAGCAGCTCTCTGCTCTGAACACAGTCACTGTTCCAAACCAAGATCTGGAGAAGGAACTTCCAGATATATGCTCAAAAGCTTTCCGAAGTCTGCGGGATGAGCATCTTTCCATGGCTAACGCATCATCATAGTTCCTAAAGCATGCCAACAGTGGGGGCTTTGTAGAGCCTGATTACCTGTTAAGCATCCAAGATGTCGGCCATTTTTTCTATTCAATTCTATTCTGTTTATTTATAAAGCTCCATATCACCACCAGAGTCGTCTCAAGGACCTTCACACAGTAAACAATACAGGTCAGGTCATTAAGCCAATCAGTAACAAGGTTCCTATTTAAGGAACCCAGCAGGTTGCATCGAGTCACTGACTAGTCACTGAGAGAATGTTACAAACAACATTTTTGTTTTCAATTCTCCATTTAAAGATCTTTCAGTTTATTTCTAGGTGTTCTTGAAAGATGTTCATGAGTCCAGACCAGTGGGGGTTCTAGACTTCTGTGGGAGGGGGGTCCAAGCTTGCTGTCACGGTGGCACTGACCACTCCTCCAGAACTGCCATGGACCAGGCATCCATCTCTCCAGGTCCTCCTGGGAGAACCAAGCTCTGCATAAAGGCTAATTATTGGACGTGTGAACACCTGGGTGGACTTACAAAGCCTGAGTGGAAAGTGACTCACATCATTTTTACACCTGCTCTGTTAGTTTTCTACCTGTTTCTAAGGAAGAATTGATGTTTAACCACAGGACAACGTTAACCTTGACGCTGTCGATGTGTTCAGGTAAAGCGTCGATCAGCAGGTTCTCCAGCGGCTCCCAGGCCTGCTTCACCATCTCTGCCTGCCTCAGCTGTGTGTCCAGCAGATCTTCTGCCTTCTGCAGCTCCACCAGCCTGCTCAGAGCCGACTCCAGCTGTGACTGCCAGTCCACCGAGTCGCCGTTCAGACGCTCCCACTGGTGCATCACATCATCCGCTTCCTTGCGCAGGACTCGACCCACGTTCTGAGCACGCTCCTCTGGGCTGATTTCTGGTGGATGGGGGTTATAACAACTTGTTAGTGAAAGTAATTACAGCTCTTAACTTTGTTCTAAAGGCTGATGAGACTTCACAGGCTGTAGCTCCTCAGCCTAACCCAAATAACTCCTCAACTGTAGTCAGCCACAGATCAGTCATGTGTTCATTCCCTTCATGTACGTTCCACCACATTCATGTGTCCACCTGCAGCCCAGAGAAGAGTCGGACCAAACCCCTCAGGAATTCCCTTTTCCTTTTCCCTGCATTTGTTTGAGTTGGCAGCTGAATGGATTTAATGGGCTGCATGTTTGTGTAGCTCCTGGAAACGTGGCCGCTGCCATGGAGCAGACGGTGCAGCAGGAAAGCCTCCGCCTGTCTGTCTGCCTCCCCCAGCGGGGTTCCTGGGCTGGTGTTCCAGTAGAAAACTTACTCCATGCTGCTTTCATGTGAGACCTGAACTATGAACTCTGGTTGTGGTGCTGGAAACGAGGCTGATTAATCAGCTGTTTCCTGAAGCAACAACCAGCTGATGCGGTTTCTGACTTCATTACAGAAAAGGTAGAAAATGTTTAAAGACGTCATTTTGCTTCTCCGTCCTCAATGACAGAAATAGGGAAAATGTGCTTAAAAAAACAACAAAACAAACCATAAAATCCTAAAATGATCAACGAAAAAAACAACAACAAAGGAAAGATAAAACAAAGGATTTATGTAAATGCAGCTTTAAATAAAAGGGTCTTTAGCTGTTTTATAAGTGTCCAGACTGTCAATGCTGTAGGGATAAAGGAAGATTCTTCCACAGTCTGGAAGGAGCGATCACCTCACTTTTATATCTGGTCTTTGGAACTTCTAGAAGGTTCTGGTGAGTGGACCTGAGGACTCAGGTTGGAGCAGAAGGCTTTAACTGTTCAGTAATATTTCCCTTCAAAGTTAGGACATTTATCTGCTTATAATTGCTTTAAATCTGACCAGTTGGGCTTAGACGTGTGTGTGAATTAGTTATAGTTAAGGTTAGGGTTAGGTAGGGTTAGGTATAATACCATCACAAAAAGATAGAAAGACAGACGTGTGTGTGTGTGTGTGTGTGTGTGTGTGTGTGTGTGTGTGTGTGTGTGTTCGTGTGTGTGTGTGTGTGTGTGTGTGTGTGTGTGTGTGTGTGCGTGTGCGTGTGCGTGCGTGTGTTACCTCTGTGCTCAGGAGAAGGCGTCTCTCTGGGCAGCTCACACAGAAACTGTCTCACATCGTCCACAGCTTTGTTCACTACCGGGTCTTTAGCTCTCAGCTCCATCTTGAATCCCTGAGGACCAACGTTCCTGTTACTGTTGTCCTCTAACCAGAGGTGAGAACAGATCTTTGATCTTTCTGAGGACCTTCATTACTATTGACCTGCTCCTCCTGATGATCTGCCCACAACACCGCATCATGTGTGACTGGATCATAAAGAGGCGGTTTTAACTTATCAGACAGCGTTGAAGAAAATTCTGTTAATGATAATTTAGGTAAATGACTAAATGGCCTTTATTTGGTATTTGATATAGCGCCATCTAGAGTCATAGAACCCCCAAGGTGCTTTACAACATAATCATTCATTCACCCATGCACACACACATTCACACACTGATGGTGATTAGCTACAATGTGGTCACAGCTACCCTGGGGCACGCTAATAGAGGCGAGGCTGCCGGGCACAATCCCCGGTTCCTCTGACGACCAACGGGCAGGATGGGTGAAGTGTCTTGCCCAAGGACACAACAATGCTGGGAGCCAGAATTGATCCTATAATCCTCTGATTATCGGACAATCTGCTGTACCTCCTGAGCTATTGCTGCCACAGTACGAAAGTCCCGCCCCCTCCAGAGCTCTACAGCTAAGGTAGACATCTTAGCCCCGCCCCCTTACAGAAACATCAACCAGGACTGACAAAGCTCCAACAGTGACTGCGTTTACATGCAGCCAGTAACCCTTTTAAAACCTGAATATTCACAATAACCCGGTTCCGCAGGTCCATGTAAACACCGCCAAAAACCCGGATATGCTCATAACCGGGTTTTTAAAAACCCGGTTACTACACCTGGGGTAACCCTTTTCTAACCCGAATGTTTGGTCGTGTAAACGCATATCGGGATATCCCCATCAAAGCGTGTGTTCTGTGCATGCTCTGTTCGCAAGGAATCTTGGTCTTTTGAGTAGCGAGACGTCTTGTATGCGCCAGAACACCGGAAGTAAACAACAAGTTGGGAGCAACATGGCGAGTCGCGGCACAGCACCACACTTTTGGAGTGACGAGGAAACTAAAGCACAAACAAACGCGGTCGCTATCTCTTCCGAACTGGGAAACATGTTGTTGTTTTCACGGATACCGGAAAAGAAGAACCGGAAATGACGCATATTGCGTCTGGACGTAGTCCATACATCCTGACGCTATCCCAACGTCCGCATTTAAATCGGGTTATGCAAGTTAGGGGTAACTCTTTCTATTTATGCTTGTAAACGGGTTATTCTGATCAACTCAGAAACCCGAATACCGACCTTAACCCGATCATAACCCGGATATTGGCTGCATGTAAACGTAGTCACTATTGTAAAACTTAAGTATGAACAGCCTGACAGGAAAATGTGTTTTTACTCTGTGTGAGTCCAGTTGTCTCTGCACAGCGGGGACGTCGCCCCCTACAGGCTTCTCCTGCTGCAGCTGCTGACTCTTCAGCCTCAGCCAGTTCAGCAGCTCTTGCAGTGACATGTGGAGTCTCTTCCACGGGGCCATCTCCGAGTCCAGATGGGCCCTGCAACACAAACAGGAACATTTAGATGGCTTCAGTGTGACTGGACCTTCTGCTTCCTCCCACCTCATGCTGAGCGTCTTGCTGCGCAGGTCGTTCCAGCGCTGTCTCATGCTGTCCAGTCGTCTCTGGAGCAGAACTTTGTCCTCAGGGTCCTTCAGCGAGGTCAGGATCCTCTGGCCGTTCTCATCCAGGGAATGATACAGCTCCTCATGGCTGTCCTCCTCCACCTGCAGGTCCTGTTGAGAGAATAATACCAGAATGATAGACTGGAATTGGGTTAGGGGTTGGAATTGTTTGGTCATTCTAGAAGGAAATCTGTTCCATTTCCCAGTTTGGAATTACAAACCAGAGTCATGAGGAAAGAGAAAATGTTTTTCATGAAAGAATCATCTAGAACTTTCTCTGTTTTCTTCACACAGCCTCCTACTGGAACATTTATAACCCTAACATAACATAAATTTTTACATGCACTCAAAAAAATTATACAATTTAAGAAGGAATAAAAACCAATTCTTTAGCTTTCTCAACTCTTCCTAAACCTTTGCACAAGTTGCTGTTAATCTTCTGCTGAACCCAAAATATTCGTATTAGCCAGCACAATAAACTTAAATAAATCCGAGGCTCTGCAGATATTATTTATATATAAAACAAATAGGTTTGGGCCGAATACTGACCCTTGCCGAATACTGACCCTTGCGGAACACCACAGTGAATGTCAAGACACCTAGATTTTTGATGACCCAGATGAACAAACGGTGCTCTGTTACTCATTTAACTTTTCAGCCAATTAAGAGTTGTCCCCCTTATGGCAGCCTTCTCCATCTTTGATATACGTATTTTATGACTGACCATATCAAAGGCTTTCTTCAAGTCAATAAAAAGTCCCAGAGTATATTTTTCCTATCAAGAGTTGTGGTTATGTCTTCAACCCATTCCATTAAAGCTTGTGAAGTAGATCTACTTGATCTGAAACCAAACTGACTATCCAATAAAATCCCATTTTTCCAGCTTTTCATTATATATTTTTTCCAAAATCTTTGAAAACTGGGATAACAAGGAAACCGGTCTGGAGTTAGTGAATTGATGCTTATTTCCAGATTTGTAGAGAGGAACCACCTTTGCCACCTTAATTTTATTTGGGAACATATGTGTTTTAAGTGATAAATTGCATTTATACGTGAGAGGTTCAATAATACCATCAATAGTTTGTTTAACTAAAACATGTCTATACCATCTCCATCTGTTGAAAATGTAGTTTTACAAACTCCAACAATTTCAAGAACGTCCCTTTGAGTCACTTCAAGTAGTAAAAAATCCGCCACACTGTCCAACGCATAACCATCAGCTTCAGACTCCCCATAACATTTTATTGTACCTGCCAAATTTGGACCAACCCAAACAATAAATTACATGAATGTCTCTACTATCAACTGTCTGCCATAGATTTCTCTATCACTATGGACAAAATAATCCGGAGGTTTCATCCCCTCACGGCGCTTTTTGATTATTGTATGTCGTGTGTTCCATATTCCATCCATCCATTGTCTGAACCTGCTTTGTCCACGTGGGGTCGCGGGGGTGGGTGGGGGTGGGGGTGTGTGTGTATCTCCAGCGCTCAATGGGCAATCAGGCAGGGTACACCCTGGACAGAGAGCCAGTCCATCGCAGACACACACACACACACACACACACACACACACACACACACACACACACACACACACACACACACACACACACACACCTAAGGACAATTTAGACAGACCCGTTAGCCTGACAGTCATGTGTTTGGACTGTGGGAGGAAGCCGGAGTACCCGGAGAGAACCCACGCATGCACAGGGAGAACATGCAGACTCCATGGAGAAAGACCCCAGACTGGGAAGCGAACCCAGGACCTTCTCGCTGCAAGGCAACAGCTCTAACCACTGCGCCACTACGCAACCCTTTGTTCCATATTCCTTTAATGTTAATTTATTTCTAATCAATTTGCTATAATAATTCCTTGTACATGTTCTGATAATATGAATCAATTTGTTTTTATATACTTTATATTTCTGTTCATCTTCTTTAGTTCTGCATTCCGCAAACAACTTATATAACGTGTTGTTTTTCTTTACAAGCATCCCCCTTGTCATCCATGGCTTCTTTGAACATCGATTTCTAAAACGGACAATGCTTATCATATATACGTCTATAAATGTCCAAAAATAAGTTATATGCAATATTCACATCATTTTACTCTATATACTGCAGTTAACGCTTTGTAGTTCTTCTATTGGATTTTCCAAATCCTCGTCCTTTCTTCTCCTTCATAGTTTGTACACATTTTCTAGAAGTCAACCTTCAACAATTCATTACGATCAATAATTTCTGATCAATGTTCCTGCTTCTGAGTCTCAATCTTCTCCATCGACTCGTCTGGTTAAAGGGACTATAAGGAAGTTTGACAATCAAAACATGTATAGAAATAATAAATTTCTTCTTCATACATTCTCCTGCAATGCCCTGGTCCTGTAGAATGAGCCCTGGCATTTTTACTGTGATTGCCTGTTTTTCTGTAAAATCGCAGAAAAAGAGAGCTGTTCGGGTCGAGCAGGCTGCTTCATGCGCGTTCACGCTCAGACATAGCCCGTAGCATTTGCTGTCAGTAGCTGTAGCAGCAGAGAGAGAGGCAGTGCCAACTCAGCGACTTTGTCGCTGTTCCTAACGCCTAGTGATGAACCTAGCTACATTTCTGAGGAACATTAGCTACTTTCTGTAGAACTTTCTTCTAGATATTTCCTGCAAATTAGCAACAAAATATCCATTTTCGCTCCGAACCGTTCTTTGGATTGACGTTGTTTCAGCTGTCATCAAGAACATAAATGTTACAGATACATTGAGTGTCATTGGTGCTTTAGCTCACCTAGTAAGGTGTCTGACTCTCATGCAGAAGACCTAGATTCGACTCCACTCATGAATATAATTTTCTTTTTTACATTAATGGTATATTTTTTTACAGTAAGACACCCAAATTTTTATTTGAGACTCGCCGAACAGCATTGAATTCACGGATAAAAAAGATGTGGGTTCAACTTTCATTTTGGAACAATTTTTCAAGCAAGGGAAAGGAATGATCTGAGCGTGCAGGAGGACTGACCCATCTTAAACCTTTGTCGGCTGTGCTGAAGAGAAAGGTACAGAACCAAATTATTTAATGAATTAGCTGTGTGTTCTCCTGTCCTCTGTCCCCCCCCCCCCCCCCCCCCCCCCCAACACACACACACACACTGCATGTTCGGCCGGCCGACGAGAAAGTGCAGCTGCAGAGACAGAGGCACATTATTTTTATTAATTTGCTGTGTTCTTCTGTCCTCCGGGCCACACACACACACACGGGACGCTCTCAGAGCTCTGTGCTCTGTCTCAGCTGTTATTTTCCTTAAGGAGTGTGCACGTACAGCGTGCACACCTCATGCACGAGCTTACTTTTGAAGCTGCAGTTATGCGTTAGGCCTGAGTAGCGATCGCGAGCATAAAAACTTCAAACTTCCTTACAGTCCCTTTAAATAAACAAGAATCCTTCTACAAATGTAAAGTCAGGATTTTTCAGAAAGGAAGTTCAGGGCTGTCAGAAGCATAAAAAAGTGAGGATGGTGCACTTTGGCTGAAGTAGATTTCCAGCATTCTAGCGAAATAACATCAACATGAACCTATAAAGAGAAATGAAACACCTGGTTTGTTATTCTGTTTGAACCCAGAGGTCCCGTCTGACTTTCAGAAATGTTTTGGAGCATTCCACGCTCAGTTGTTTATTATTATTATTATTATTATTATTATTATTAAAATAATAATAATAATAAGAAGAAGAAGAATAATACAGGTGTGAAGACTCTCAGCATTGCTATTATTATGTGTTACCATTGTTGGTTTCCAATGCTATACCAATATAACTAAACCACATTGGTTAATGTTGAAATATGTATTGCTACTGTAAAAATATAAATCCAGCTGTGGGCTGGATTAGGACTTAACCCTCTCAGGCTCAAAATGAGTTTTGATAAGAGGATGAACCACTAAGTCCTTCAGTGGTACTTCTGAGTTAAAAATGCTCATGAAATACGTGTGTGGAGTAAGCAGGTAGGTAGGTTTTAACACCTGCCTCCAGAGGGTTAATGATAACATACCTAGCTGCTGGATCGCCTAACCAGCTAACTGCATTTAAACCTTTCCACTAACCTGTCCTGTGGGACAGATGGACTTCTGTCTCCTTCTGTCTGGAGTGAGGAGCAGATACAGACAGGAGGAAACCATCTATCCTGTAACTTAACCAGTTTCCTCCAAATGTTTCATCAACAAGGTCCTCTTGAGCCATGAAACCAAATCAACAGCCAGAGCTTTGATGACTGAGCAGCACCATGTTCCCTCATCCAGAGCTCTCTCTATCCTGTTCTCTCCTCTCTGTCCCTGAAGAGATCAGAGATCAGGTCTCTGCTGCTGTCCTGCTTCTTCCTGGTTCTCTTTGGTGTGTGACTATCTGCAGGGTCACAGCTCCATCTCTCTCTCTCTCCTGTCTGAGCCTGACTCGGTCCGGCTGCTTCACCTAATTATTGTTCATTTATCAGGAAAAATAGAACGTTTGCTCATTTATGTTCATGTGTTTTTTCTCACCAAAGTCAGCAAATATCTCGCTCGAGTGTGATGCTCGAGAGCTCTGCATCCATCCATCCACACACCTATTCATCCACACACCTATTCATCCATCCATGCATCCACCCACCCATCCATCCATCATCCACCCACCCACCCATCCATACACTCATCCATCCATACACCCATCCACTTATCCATCCACTCATCCATCCATCCATCCATCCATCCACACACCAATTCATCCATCCATGCATCCACTCACCCATCCACCCACCTATTCATCCACTCATCCATCCATCCACACACCTTTTCATCCATCCATGCATCCACCCACCCATCCATCCATACACTCATCCACTCATCCATCCATACACCCATCCACTTATCCATCCATACACCCATCCACTCATCCATCCATCCATCCATCCATCCACACACCTATTCATCCATCCATCATCCACCCACCCATCCATCCATACACTCATCCACTCATCCATCCATCCATCCATCCACACACCTATTCATCCATCCATCATCCACCCACCCATCCATCCATACACTCATCCACTCATCCATCCATACACCCATCCACTTATCCATCCATACACCCATCCACTCATCCATCCATCCATCCATCCATCCACACACCTATTCATCCATCCATTCATCCACCCACCCATCCATCCACTCATCCATCCATGCATCCACCCACCCATCCATCCATCATCCACCCACCCAGCCATCCATACACTCATCCACTCATCCATCCATACACCCATCCACTTATCCATCCATACACCCATCCACTCATCCATCCATCCATCCATCCACACACCAATTCATCCATCCATGCATCCACTCACCCATCCACCCACCTATTCATCCACTCATCCATCCATCCACACACCTATTCATCCATCCATGCATCCACCCACCCATCCATCCATCATCCACCCACCCATCCATCCATACACTCATCCATCCATACACCCATCCACTCATCCATCCATCCATCCATCCATCATCCATCCATCCACACACCAATTCATCCATCCATGCATCCACTCACCCATCCACCCACCTATTCATCCACTCATCCATCCACTCATCCATCCATCCATCCATCCATCCATCCAACAACCACCTATTCATCCATCCATCCATCCATTCATGCATCCATCAATGCATCCATCCAGAAAAGTCATAATACCTCTTATATTTAAACAGGAAAACACAAAACCCTTCTTCCATTTCTGCGTTTTAACTAAGTGGCCCTATCGTCATGGTAGCGGGTCAGAAGATTATGATCAAATTAAAAAGATGCCAACATCAAATCTCAGCCCTCATGGTTAACAGGAAGTACATTAAATGATTGATTCTGATTGGTTTATCTGGATCGTGGTTCTAGTAGAAAACAAGTAAAGCTTGATTTGGATTTCCAACCTGAACATGGTACACCTTCCTTCGCGGCATCCTCAAA